TATTTAAATCATTTTAAGAAACTTAGAAATGTGAAGAACTATTAATAAGTTTACAAAATGTTAATTTTTTAAAAGAGAAGCAAATATTGATCAAAGAAAATTAAGAAAATGATAGTAATAAATAAAAGGAAGTGATCTAAGTATATATTTAATAGAATTAATAGTAATAATAATTAATGATCAATAAACAAGTTGAACTTAAATTAATTGATGATTCTAATTAATAGAATGATTCTTCTTTTGCAATAGTTTTTGATAAAACTGGATCAATCATGATTTCTTGTGAGAATGATGAGATTAAAATTTGGAATTTTGAACAAGGAAAATTAAAATTAATTAATACATATTAAAAACATAGAGGAGGTGTTGCATGTTTGGTATATAGTAAATTGAGAAATAACTTTATATCTGGTTCATGTGATAAGACTATCATCTGTTGGCAATAAATTAATTAAAAAGAGTGGAAGTGTTCATAGCCATTCTAATAACATAATGATGATGTTAATTGTTTGATGTTAAATAAACAGGAGGATCAACTTATTTCAGGAGGTTAGGATAAATCAATAAAAGTTTGGAATGTAGATTTTATTAAGAATGAGCTGAATTTTCAGTACTCATTAAATAAACATAGTAATGGTGTATTCTCATTCTGTTTTAATTCAACTGAAACTGTATTGGTATCATGTGGATATTAAGAATTTATCATTTGGGAGAAAGGAGTATAAGGAAAATGGGAATGTAAATATACACAAGATGTTTAATATTATGATTGTGGATATAAAATACATTTAATTAATGATCAACAATTTCTTTGGGTAACTAGACTTAAGAATGTTGATGATATTTTGGTGTTTGATATATAGAATGGAGTCTTTTAATAAAATATTAATAAAACTATCAAATTGACTAAGAATAATGAATGTGATGATCATATGTATTTCCCAATTAATTACAATAAAGATAAAAATATAATATTGGTAAGACATAAACATCATATCTATCTGATTAGGCAATAAAATGATGACACATTTAATATTATCGCATCATTAAATTGTTAAAATGATTAGATTTATGGAACTATGACCAATAATGGATAGTATTTAGTATTTTGGGATAACAAATCTAAAAAGTATTAATCATATGAGATATTAAATATATGAATTATAAATAGATTTAATATATTAAGATAATTTATTATTTATGAATCAATAAATTTAAATTTAACTTCACTTATGATTTTACTAAAAGCATTAATTCACAATTATTAAATACATCCAATTTAATAAAATATATGGGAAATTTAGTTTTGATTCCATATTGAAGTTTAGATAATTAGAATTACATTTATGCCAATCTAAAAATATTTCAAAGTAACTTCATAGTTATTCAATTTTTGTTTTTTATAGAGTGGCTTCAAATCATAAGAATTGATTCAATTTACAATATTTTTCATTAATATACAAATTGATAAAGTTCTATTTCGTAAAAAAGAGCTTTTAATCTTCTAATAATATATTAAGGGGAAAAAATTTATGATAAAAACTAACAAAATATATTTAGTCTTGAAAACTCAATCAAATAGATATTTAGAAATTTAAAATAAAAGTTAAAGTTACTAGATATTTGTCCAAAAAAATCTTTACAAATCTCTGAATTTAATTATATCAATAACAATTCTTCATCTAAGTATCACTAACTCTTCATATTCAAACAGTTTAAATAAACCTTGGAATAGATATATGAATTAATAACATATTTAAAACTCAAATAACAAAATTCCATTTAATTAGTTCTAATTAAATTATTTTCTAAATTTCTTTTAGAATAAGTCAAAAGTTAATTGATCCAACCAGATCTTTAATTATCAATAACACTAACGGACTTATAAATATTATAGCTAATAGTTATAGTATGATCAATAGATGAGATAACATTTTAATAAATATAAATTTCTTTGAACCAATCCACATTTTACTTCTCTTTATTTAATTTAACAACCTTCTGATTAAAAAAAAGATTCCAATTTTCCATATATAATCCATATATGATCATTCTGAATTATCTTAAATACTGGTAGATAAATAAACTCTTCATTATTTATAAGTAATTTAACCCTTAAGTGTTAAGGCGAATTGTTTCTAATCTCAGCAAAGTTTAAAAAAGTTGATGAATTTGTGTAAATGTTTGTCCAAAACAAAACATAATCCCATTAACAAATTCTTTAATATATGTGTCTTGCAAACCCCTCCAAATTATTTAGACAAAATTATTATTAGTACTGCATTTTCCTATCTCTTAAATAAAACAATAAAAAGATAAGAATTACATTAATTCTTGATTGTATTTGTTCTCTATTAATATATCAAGTCCAATCTGAATATCCTGAAGTAGGGCCAGATTTCGCTGAATATCAGGCCATCCATCTAATATAGAGTATAAAATTATTAAAAGTTTGTTACTAAATCCAAATGAAAGAGAGCCTCAGGTTATAGTGTATATTAAGCTTCTTTTATAGTTTCAAAAGCATAATTATTACAAATAACTTGTGTTATTTGATAATAACTTAGTCATTTAATACTTTTGCATAATTTATTGACATTATAAAATGTAAAATATGTGTAGTGATGATAAAATAATGACCATTATGTATTTTATCATAAAAAATTTTGCATTAGATAATGTATTCATCAATTTCAAATTTTTTTGAAAATAACCTCAAGGACTAACATCCTTTGCATTCCAATTTAGAAGAATTTAATGGTTTCCTGTTCATTATGGTCATTTTATTTTTTCAATAATTATTTTCATCTTCCTTTACCTATTACCATGTGATTTGAATGAAATGAAAAATATGTATTCTTTCAAATACTCCCTT